AACTAAGGAAACTAGTGACTCCAGCTACACAATGGATTCCTCCCAATGCTGATCGAGGTGATTCATTAGGATTGAAGTGATCCGAGTGACCCGAATGACTTGGAAGTTGCCACATAAGATAATATACGTTTACATGTCTAGAAATATATATGAGAAGTATCTTTGATAAATAAGAAGCAGCATTTGGTAGCTATCGCAAATAAAACATTGATGCTCGATATCAATACGGTGACAAAACGCATAACCATCTGGTGGAATATGTGATATCGGCACAAATATAGGTGTCAACTTGTCAAGGCGTATAATAACACATAAGTCTCCTAAGAAGCGACTAACGGGATCGAGGGGTCAGGCTCGCTGACTTGGTTGATGCATGCCATCAATCCCAATTGCGTGGATCGATGCTCATGATATTAATCACCTGGAATGTCTGGTCCAGACGCGATTATTTACACACCGCTGTCATATAGCTGAAATATTGCTGAGTGCGGCGTTATACAACAAAAAAACCAACAACCAACCAACTCAATTCTACTGTCAAACCCATTTGACAGAGTGCGTCGCTAACCGTGCCGCTACATTCGAATCCATTAGATCTGAAGTACTTGTTCGCTGATAAAAAGAAAACACCCGAGTTCCTTAATGTCTAAAAATTAACAACTTTCATTTTATTAAATAATGAACAAAAATAATATGGATCGTTACATCATGGAGTGGATGAGTGGGTATGGTTTTACGCCGCTTTTACCAATGCTCCAGCAATACACGCGGGGGACACCAGAAATGGGCTTCAGACAGTGTACCCATGTCGGGAATCGAACCCGGGTCTTCGGCGTGACGAGCGAACGCTTTAACCACTAGGCTACCCGACCGCCCCTGGAGTGGATGAAACGGACATGATCATGGCAAGGGATTTAAACTCCACATGCATTGTAATCCTGTGATACTGTTACAATTCATTTGTTATATCTTACTTGATTTTGTCGAATTATTTACATAGAGATATCAATTTTGGTAAAATTAATCTCATATATATCAAGTTTGTAAATGATTTTAAATTTGCATTAACCATCACGCTGTTGTTTGCCAATTAAAACAAATATATGAATTTATACTCTGTTTAATATAAACATGTTAATATAATAATCTTCTGAGTCATGAAAACACCATTCTATTTTAATCATTCAGTAACTTTGTACTTGTAAGACTAGTACACTTCGGGATAAAGGGAACGGGTAGTATTTAGCTTGCCACTGGTCCATCAACCAATCTCATTAAAATCAGATCTTAGCTCTCTCTACCGCTAAATAAAGATCTGAAGACATCCCATTAGGGTCACGTCGGAACGACCTTTCATCCGATCAATTAGAGTTATTGATTTATTGATATCACGATCATGGGGGTACTAGGACATGCATCAAGCAAGTCAGCGAGTCTGACCATCTGACCCCGTTTAAAGTAGTCCGAAAAAGACCCGCGAAGATCCGGGGTGGAATAGGTCTTCAGCAACCCATGCTTGCCGTAAAAGGTGACTATGCTTGTCGTAAGAAGCGACTAACGGGATCGGGTGGTCAGGCTTGCTGACTTGCTTGATGCATGTCATAGTACCCCAATTGCGTAGATTGATGCTTATGGTGTCAATCACTGGATTGTCTTGTCCAGACTCGATTATTTACAGACCGCAGTCATATAGCTAGAATATTGTTGAGTGCGGCGTTAAATACAAACAAACAAAACAAAATCTCCCGAAACGTAACGGTTGATGAAGACTAGTTTTTACCCGGAACCTCACGGGTTACGAAGCTGCGGCGGTTGTGGTGGATCCAGGGTATTGATCAGAACAGAATGGAGATATCAGACACTGTACAATGAAGGGTGACTATGCATATGACGTATGGAAAATGGTATGAAAAAAAACAACAACAAAAAAACTTAACACTTGAGCCTTATTATAAAATCACCAACTTACATATTTAGAGGGAACTATGTTCTTCGCATGGTGACCATTTCCGATCACGTGACCGTTTCCGCGGGGTAGTGAATAGAACGTCTGCCCGAAGAGCGGAAGGTCACTGGTTTGATCCCCGGTCGCGTCATACCAAAGGACGTTACTTGTTGTTACCCTGCCTAGAGTTCGGTTTTAAGGGGATAAAAGAAGGATAGGTCAGCTCGGAGTCAATTTGCTGTGTCTGAGTAGCGTATCCATGTTAAACTTCGGCATGCTGTCTCAGTGTATCTCATTGGACTAGCACCATGAAACCGGTATTACTCCGGACGTGTACGCACGCACACACGCACGCACGCACGCACGCACGCACGCACAATGCAATGCAATAGGGAACATGCCAAACTCGATTATCCGGGGTATTATGTCTCCATTCTGTTACGATAAATTCCCTGGACCCATTCTCTAGTGTAGCATCGTTTCAAATATATTCGGGGGCACGGGTGGCCCAGTCGTCTAAGGCGCCGCGATTCGCTGTGCAGAGTTGCGTCCCTTGGGCACGCCAGAAACCTATGATTGTGGGTTCGAATCCCGGTTCGCCCATATTATGTTTCTAGGTTTGTCAGCACCATACCCGTGCTCGTGGGTTTCACCGAAGTGGTAAACGTCTTAGACCTGCATCACTTCGGGCTTTCCTCCCACATTAAGCTGACACGCCGTGATATAACGGGAATAATGTTAAAAGCGGCGTTAAACCCAACTCACTCACTCACTCAATTCAAATAACATGATTCTAAAAATAGTCGTACAATAAAATTCGGTTCTAAGTTTGAACTAGGAGAGATGGAGGCGGTATGACTCAGTATGGGATCGCCGAACTTTAGATTTGAATTACACTCTCCATTATGAACGAGTTACATAAGAAAATGGCGGCTATTAGCATGACATACATGCAGGCTAATTTGGCACAATTAGGCCCACAATGTTTATTATTTTTATACATAACCATAAATATATCCTTCACTGTATACTACAGCCAGTCTTTCTATTCTGTGTAATGTAAAGGTCATGTTACCAGTAAAATTGATCAAAACAGACACTGACATACGACATCATCATCGTAACAACAGAAAATGAGAATGATATTCCTCATAATACCAATACATGTGATATGTACTAATATCATATGTACTATCAAAATAAAATCAGTCCTCTTTCAAAACTAGAAACATGTTGACGTAAGAAAACTTTATTTGTTCTCGTGAACTAGTTATTGGGACGGAAAGCGGCATGACTTTAGACAAGTATTGAACGAATTAGATCATTTACTTCTCAAGCGATTGAACGAAATATGATTCGTGGAGAACTTAAATGAAGCTCTCATAAAAGAACTTAAGTGACTTATCCTCACAAGTGGTAGCCTACACACAATATATACTACAGTTTGTTTATTCTTTTATTTTGGTACTTAAACTATGAAATGTTCTCTTGTCGTGCACTCATTTTCGCTTCTTTTCTGAGGCAACCCATTCACAATGGAGGGTGTAATTCAAATCTGCTGTTCCATGCCGTGTATAAGTAGCTGTACATGACACTGTTTTATAGACAGCAACTTCTTTTATTCCTTGTACGTGAAGGAGCAAGAAGTTACTTCATCACGTGAAGGAGCGAGAAGTTACTTCATCGCGCGAAGGAGCAAGAAGTTACTTCATCGCGTGAAGGAGCGAGAAGTTACTTCATCGCGCGAAGGAGCGAGAAGTTACTTCATCGCGCGAAGGAGCAAGAGGTAACTTCATCGCGTGAAGGAGCAAGAGGTTACTTCATCACGTGAAGGAGCAAGAAGTTACTTCATCGCGTGAAGGAACAAGAAGTTACTTCATCGCGTGAAGGAACAAGAAGTTACTTCATCGCTTGAAGGAGCAAGAAGTTACTTCATCGCTTGAAGGAGCAAGAAGTTACTTCATCGCGTGAAGGAGCAAGAAGTTACTTCATCACGTGAAGGAGCAAGAAGTAGCAAAGAATAAAAGAAATTGCTATCCATAAAAAAGGAGGCCTATCATGTATTCATATTCTCCCAACTTCTAAATTCCTCTCAAAGACTTAAAACTGTATATTGGCGAACGTTTCCAAGTTAATGTTTATCATGACTGGGTACATTACACTGTATAATCGAGGATGGACCAAGAAATCATGTTATACTAGCTTCGTCAATTCGAATTATTAGACCCGTGAAGGTCTGGGGTAGAATTCGTCTTCAGCAACCCATGCTTGCCGTAAAACGCGACTATGCTTCTCGTAAGAGGTGACTAACGGGATCGGGTGGTCAGGCTCGCTTGACTTAGTTGAAACATGTCATCGTATCCCAATTTCGTGGATCGATGCTCATGATGTCAATCACTGGATTGTCTGGTCCAGGCTAAATTATTTATAGACCGCCGTCATATAGCTTGAATAGTGCTGAGTAGTGCGTTAAACAACAAACAAACAAACAAACAAATCGAATTATTAAAACGCAACATTGAATAAACATTTTTACACCTAGTTCACACAGTGTGACCTTGACCTCCAGTACGTGCCATCCAATCCTTTGTCACAAAGAATGTATATCAGGTAGGAAGTCTCGAACAGCTCTTATGAAAAACAGGAGGCAGTAATGGTCAATTTCGAGCAAACGTCCCTTTCTTATGCGTCTGAATAAGAGTGTTTGGTTGTGTTTTCAACGCCGCACTCATTCGAGTTTGGGTCCGAAAATCCAGTGAGCATCAATATACACACGTTGACATACGATAACATGCAACCATCCAAGTCACCAAGCTTGACCACCCGATCCATTTAAGATCCATTCTTACGTAATAAGCATAGGTTGCTGAGTTACCCACAATCCCTATGATGAATCTGAATAAGTAATGAGATTATGAAAGTGTAATCGACCTCGTCCATTCAGACATAACACGTTTACGTTTGCATGTTTTGAGCAAATGTATTTGTCGATTTGCGAGTGTTTTAGTGGTTGGCGTATGAACAATAAATAGAGTTGTTTCCCTTGAATCACTTCCTTCTCCGACTTTCCTGAACATGACAACCTGAAAACACAAGATTGTTTCCAGATTCCTGTTAGAATTGAGACGTAATTTCAACTCGCACGAACATGATATCAATGCTAACTGTGGTTATTTGTCTGTCTTATTTAATTCCGACAAATAGCCACTTTGAAAAAGCGAGTTCGCCGCCGAAGTTGTTAGTGATTTCATTCGATGGATTCAGGTGGAATTATTTGGAGCGGACGGATACTCCGCACTTCGACGTTTTCTTGAAAAATGGAGCACACTCAAAGAATGGCCTCAAGAACGCGTTCATTACCAAGACATTTCCAAACCATTACACTCTAGCTACGGGAATGTGGGAAGAGAGCCATGGCATCGTGGCCAATACGATGTACGACCCAAAACTGAACGAAGTTTTCACTCTATCCAATAAAGTTGATCAGACGAGTGCAAAGTGGTTTGATGATGGCGGCGAACCCGTGTGGGTGACGAACCAGCTTCAGAACTCTCACCACAGAAGCGGCATTGTGATGTGGCCGGGAGGGGGTGCTCCTGTCAAGGGTGTCAATGCTGTCCACAATATCTTGTTTGATCCATCTGTCAAAAACAACACGAGGGTAGATACCATTTTGGATTGGTTCACATCAACCTATCCTATCAACCTTGGTCTTCTTTATTTTGAGCAACCAGATGAATTTGGTCACCAATTTGGACCAGATTCTAGTCAGGTGACAAGAATGATTGGAGGGTTGGACGAAGTAGTCGGTTATCTGTTGAAGGGTATGAAAGAGAAGGGTTTGTTGGAAAATACAAACGTTATCATAACAAGTGATCATGGATTTTCAAGCACTCCACCTGAAAATGTTATTAATTTGGATAAATACATTGATCCATTGTCATACAAGATATTTTCAAGTAACCCAATTGGAAGTATTTTGCCTAATGAAGGTGAGTAGAAGACTGTAGGACATCTCATTCAAAACTAGTTTATGAAACTGATTGTCTTGATTATTGAGTACAAGTATATTAGGGGCGGTCAGGGAGCCTAGTGGTTAAAGCGTTAACTTGTCATACTGAAGACCTGGGTTCGATTCCCGACATGGGTGCAATGTGTGAAGCCCATTTCTGGTGTCCCCCGCCATGATTTTGCTGGAATATTTTGCTAAAAGCAGCGTAAAACCATACTCGCTCACTCGCTCACAAGTATATTAGATTTGACCTTGCACAGTAAAGTAACATATGTTTTGTTACACTTTCATCTTTTTTAATGCCTATATCTTGTGATACATTGCTACTAATCAATCATCTCTGCCATCAACATCTTATTTATTGCAAGCTATGTTAGCAAACTGCAACTGTCTGTTAATGAGGTATTAACGAGCGACTCTGAGCTCAAATAAGACTTTTCCTTGGAGACAATTCATGCATTAAGACCTGCATCACACACAGCAAGATACCTACATCAATATCCACGGATCCCCTTCATAGGAAGGAATTATGAGCATCATACTGAAAAGGACAGAGTGTTGACCGCTCTGAAGCATGGATAAATCCCTGGCACATGGAGGATGAATATGCAAATGGAAATAGGTTTTCACGTTTAGGATATTTTCTCAATGAAAGTCAAACATTTCATGACAAATGTATATCTAAATGTGTAGACTCATCCAAATTAAGGGGGCAAAGGTAGCCCAGTCGTCTAAGGTGCCGCGATTTTCTGTGCAGAGTTTTGTCCCTTGGGCACGCCAAAAACCTATGATTGTGGGTTCAAATCCCGGTTCGCCCTGATAATGTTTCTAGGTTTGTCAGCACCATACCCATGCTCAGGGGTTTCATCGAAGTGGTAAACGTCTGAGACCTGCATCACTTCGGGCTTTCCTTCCACATTAAGCTGACCCGTCGCGATATAAATGGAATATTGTTAAAAGCGGCATTAAACCCAACTCATTCACTCACTCATCCAAAATGAAACAGATGAAAAACACATGAATTGATTGTATAAGATCTTACAGAGGCTCCAGGTTGGCCACAAGGAATTCTGGGTAGCAGAGTGATTGGCTTCATATGATCGTGGCATGTTTTTTTTGTCATCTAGGCCATGATAAACACTTGCTTCTAATCTAATCAAGCTGGCAGGTTTTTCTTCAGTTGGCCTCTAATAAAAAAACATGACTGAAGCCAACGTAACAAATGTTATATTTGCGATAAAACTTTCTTTGTAAAGTACAGATTCTCGTACATTTTGGGGTGGTTGAGTCCTGTCCGGGATTCAAACCCACACTGCCAGAGTAAGGCACCTAATCACCAGCACACAAAGTCAGCGATCTAACCCACTCAGCCACCGAGGCTTCCACAAAATTGAAAGTCTGACAACCGGTAGTCTAGATCAGGTACTTTATGTACCCACTGACAAGTGTAAATTGGCACGGCTTCCATGGCCCAAAGCTATGAACATGATGAACACAAATGACATTTAGAAAATGGTCAAATGTAACAAATGTCATATTTTGGACAACACTTTCTGAGTAAAGTACAAATTCTCATACTTTTTTTTGGGGGGGGGGGGTCCTGTCCGGGAATCGAACCCACACTGCCAGAGTAAGGCACCTAATCACCAGCACACAAAGTCAGCGATCTAACCCACTCAGCCACCGAGGCTTCCACAAAAATGAAAGTCCGACAACTGGTAGTCTAGATCACATACTTTGTGTAAAAGAACTTATTACACGCATAGATTTCTTCAAGGACAACACTCTTATTACCGATATATTTAATTTGATAGTAAAGTGGTTACTGGTTATTGTTGCATTTGAGCAGATACTAGTACCTGGATAAGTGCAGTTTATAAATGTTTAATACATGTAATATATTAATAATAATTTAAACTTTCAACATGGTCAACCATGTCAAATAATTTATTTTGTTAGTGTTTCACTCAAGATAATAAATAATACATCCAGAGCTCCAGATAAGCTGCGTATCTGTGTAAAATACGCATCAGATATGCAGAAATATGCAGTAAAATCAAATCCAACATCAAATCAAACATTACAGATATGCTACAAAAATAAAACTTGTGTGTATCATCAAAATATTGTGAAGTAACCCTGCGTATTCGATAAGCAAATCAGCAACTTATTTTGAAATTATAAACGGGCATTCCGTCAGGCTTGCCAAACTCCACGATGACGGTTACATCATGATCATTTACCATCACACTTTCTTATGGAAGTATCGTTGTATTTTTGAGTCCTATAAAGCTTTCGAACCCACACGACACCAGTTTGCAGGGACTAGATGAATAGTGTTTTTAAATATTTAACTTAGATACCCACATGTGTAAAAACTAGTGGGTAACACTAACAGAAATTTGAATACCCAGATAGAATTACGGATACCCAATGATTTTAAAATGCATGGGTAAAATACCCACAACACCAAAAGCTTATCTGGAGCTCTGTACATCAACTACTGACTTGTTGTATTTGTGAATAAACATTCTTACTCGTTACCATGGTTACCCTATGTTTGTAATACGAACATATTCGCCTCAGTGTATTCGTTTCAGCCCCAGATAATACATACTTTTATTCCTAATATATGATATACATACGGGGGAAAGAGATGAGGATCACCATGTATATATCACATCACATGATGGATATGGATATTTTTTACTTAGTGTGAGGTTGTCATCAAAACTTGTATTGAGAAGTAAAAAAACGTGATGCATTGGTGTACTGTCCGACTACTTACAGTTATATGAAAGGATCGGGGGATTCTAAGCTTTTTTTTAATAGAAACTAGAATATGATAGTTTTGATACTGAAACACACTGAACTCAAAGTAAATCTCTGCTATAAAATTGCCGGGGACACGGAGGGCACAGCTGAGGCATCAAAGTCTAGTGGGTGACACGCCAGAAACCTATGATCTTGGGTTCGAATCCAGGTTCGGCCTGATTATGTTTCTAGGTTTGTCATCACCATACCCATGCTCGTTGGTTTCACCAAAATGGTAAAGGTCTGAGACCTGCATCACTTTGGACTTTCCTCAAACAATAACCGGCACGCCACGATATAACTGGAATATTGTTCAAAGCAGCGTTGAAGTCACCATCTTCCCAAAGCAAGAGAGTTCACTGACCATGCTGACTATAAAAGTCCAGTTACCACCCTTGCCGAACTAGGCTGGTATTATGGAGTTACATTTTGGCTGCACAAACGAGTCCAATCAAAATCGCGCAACGAATCTAAATCTGGTTCGTAAACTGTCGTGCAGATTTTGGTCGATTGCCGGATTTTCCCAGACTTTTTGTGTTTTTAATCAAGATGCTCATGTGATTTGATGCACTTCGCGATGTAAGACCCATTGTATCACTGTATAGATGCTGGTTATCGATCAGATCGTCTTGACTAGGTGCCATCGTTTTGTTTTAAACAAATGCCAGTCATACGAGGGGTGGAATCTGATTGGTCCATAGGAGAGGGTTAGAAGGGACAAAACTTGTAATAGCCACTGGTGGCTCTAGGATCGAGCCCAGGAATTCCAGCCTAGTTCTGCAAGGGTGGAAACTGGACTTTTAGAGTCAGTTAACTCTCTTGCCTCGGGAAGATGTGAAGTCACTCCATGTGAACATACTGCACTTGAACTGATGTGTTGTAATAGTTTGAGTTCTTCTCATTGCAGGCCTGCTGGAAGAGCTGTATGCAAATCTTACAGCAGGGTCCAAAGCTGAAGGGCACTTCAAAGTTTACAAGAAAGACGACATACCAGACAGATATCACTACACGCACAATGACAGGATTATGCCGCTCCTCGTGGTGCCTGAAGACACTTACCAGCTTACTAGAAATGGAACAGTCCTACATGAATGTAAGTGGCCAGGTATCTGCTTGTTTCAGCACCTGTCTGGTGGAATAGTTTTGAAAGTTAACCCCCAAACATGTTTCTTTTCACATTTCAAAGTTTTAAAAAAGTTCGTCCTTACATTGACACCTCACCTGATGAGTCACATCTGGTTTTACCATGTGGTATGTGTAAAACACCACCTCTGTCGCCTGTAAAGCGGAAGGTCGGTGGTTCAATCCCCTGCCGTGTAATGCCAAAAGACGTAAAAGACATATCATTAACATATCACAGATTTTCTCTCGTGCAAGAGTTTGAAATCAACAAACGATCAAATAACTTCTGAACTAATGTGTGTAGCCCATTTCCGCCGTGATATTGCTGGAATATTGCTAAAAGCGGCATAAAACCTTACTCACTCACTCACTCACTCACTCACTCAAGATTGAGAGGAGTACTAGTGACATCGTTGCTTATTCAAGCAACAGTGTAATTTGATTGGACGTCTATTTTTAGGGTCGTGTCATTCAAACCAGCCCTAAAACATACTTAAGGTCACGAATGGGTCCAGAATTATCATAAAAGGATGGTGGTATGCAGTCTCATTAAAATCTGATCTTAGTTCTCACTCCCAGTAAACAAAGATCTGAGGACATCCCATTACGGGTCACGTCAGGCTAACCTGTCGCAAACTTTGACCGACCAATGGAATTACTAACAAGAAGTCAACAATAGCCAATCAGAAGGCAGCTTAATCGAGCTTTACAGCACGAGTTTCAAACCGGCGACTACGCTTCGAATCATATTTTGGCATATACTCGATTAAAAAAATAAAAACTGAACAAAAGAACAGTCTGGAATGGCTAATCATTGCTAATAGCTGGTCTAGATTGTATGGATACAGACATTAAGCCCATACCTGTTGTTTGGAATACCCTGTGTGTTATTATTCGAGGTTGCACGATCAAAACTCACATTCCAACTGTCACTTTCATGATCTGATAAGCGATGCTCTGGTTGGTCAGATGAAAGGTCGATCTGACATGACCCGCAATGGATTGTCCTCAGATCTTTGTTTAGCGGTAACGAGAACTAAGATCTGATTTTAATGAGATTGGGTGGTTTGATAGACTGGTTTATTGGGGATGTGTTTGGGGATGTACAGTAATTACTAAAAGATAATGCCAGGAAAGCAGGTAATCTTATCTGTGATGATTTCTGAACAACACTGAATTTATCCTGTATCATTTTCAATAATTACACATATATGGTGGACTGGTACTTGCCTTAGCTTATTAAATATGGATTTTTTGTATGTGAGACCATATCAGCAACATCTGTCACAGGTTGTAATAGAGATGATTGATTGACATCGAATCACGTGTGATAATAAACTCTCTGTCTGCAAACCATGCACACAGATGCTGCACTTAAAACATAAATAGCCCATTCAGACACAGTATACGAGCCGACCATTCTTTTTTTTTAGCCCCTTAATGCTGAGTGCCAGACAGGGTAATAACAAGTACCAATACTACCATCCTTTAACGTCTTTTGGTATGATGCTTCTGGTGATCGAACCGCTCTCGAGGCAGACGGTCTTCTACTAGGCCATGGAGGCGGTCAGCAGTCTGTGACAAATGCTTCTAGTCCAAAAGCCCAAGTGTAGTAAACTTCCTTTTGGTCTAATAATCTCAATTGTCAGTGCTTCATGGGTTTGCTTTCACTATGTTGACCAACCCTTAGTCTATGAAAATATGTTATGTTGATAGAAACAAACAACTCCATTTAAATTGAAAAGGAGCCCAAGTGAGATTGGAGATTCAGTGAAAAATCTAGACTTGCTATATCATTACAGTAACGGCAGAAGGAAAAATAATATGGTTCAGGGCCAGACTTTACACTTCTTTTCTTTGACCCTTGAAGATCCGGGGTAGAATAGGTCTTCAGCAACCCATGTTTAACATAAAAGGCGATTATATTTGTCGTAAGAGTTGACTAACGGGATCGGGTGTTCAGGCTTGCTGACTTGGTTGATGCATGTCATCGTATCCCAACTGCGTGGATCTATCCTCATGATGTCAATCACTGGATTGTCTGGTCCAGACTCGATTATTTACACCGTGCTGTCAAACAGCTGGAATATTGCTGAGTGCAGTCTTTTAAGCCAAGCCTGGGTTGCTGAAGACCTATTCTACCTGGGATCTTCACGGGTCTGTCTCCTAGTGAGTTTATGTTGTGTAAACACTTCTGTCGCTGTCTGTTGGGTTTAACACTACTTCAGTGTTCCTGTTTACCTGTTATTACCAGTTTTTTTACAGGTAAATTTAGGCTTGGACTGGTGATTCACGTGAAGTACCTTATAAATCTTTGTTGTTGAAAAAGACATCAGTGATAAATACATTTTCAGAACGAAGTCAACTTGTCTGTTATCATCAGGGTTTCCCCTTGTCTATTTTTAGTGCAAGAATATAACATTTCGCTTTGCTTCGAGGTAAAATATATATTTGTTGCAACTTCATCTCCAAATATTGAAAAAAAAAGAAGAGAAATTGTGGCTGAAATTTGTGTGAATGATGTGTAGATCTAACTAAGTTACTTTAGAGATGACGTCATTGCACTGAACATGATAATTTTCATACCTTTTTTTATTTGTTGAAAGTTGGGACTGACAAAACTTAGGGGGGCCTGGTAATTATAAGAGTTGCCAGTACAACAGGACTGGCAGTTTCAAAAGTCAGCTGGAACACTGCACTTTGAACGGTATAAAGCTATGTATTACATGTCTGCTAGTACATTAGGGGCGGTCAGGTAGCCTATTGGTTAAAGCATTTGCTCGTCACGCCGAAGACCCAGGTTCAATTCCCAACGTGGGTACAATGTGTGAAGCCCATTTTAGGTGTCCCCTGCTGTGATATTGCTGGAATATTGCTAAAAGCGGCGTAAAATCATACTCACTCACTGTAGCACATTACACAAGAAATGCTGGTGATTCAGCTGAGCAGTCACTGGTTTGAGCAGTCACTGGTTTGAGCAGTCACTGGTTTGAGCAGTCACTGGTTTGAGCAGTCATTGGTTTGAGCAGTTACTGGTTTGAGCAGTCACTGGTTTGAGCAGTCATTTGTTTGAGCAGTCACTGGTTTGAGCAGTCATTGGTTTGAGCAGTCACTGGTTTGAGCAGTCACTGGTTTGAGCAGTCATTTGTTTGAGCAGTCATTTGTTTGAGCAGTCACTGGTTTGAGCAGTCATTGGTTTGAGCAGTCACTGGTTTGAGCAGTCATTGGTTTGAGCACTCACTGATTTCTCTCTCTCGCTGGAACCAGGCCATGATTCACTGGTTACAAAATTGTGACTGCACTGCAAAGCGGCCACAGTTTTCTTTTGTAGCCATGGTTACATGATTGTAAATTTTAGATTTGAAGTGATAATGATGACAGATGGTTTTCAGAACATGCTATGCATTTGCAGGATACGTTGACTATTGTTTGATCATGTTGATTATTAAGCGTGTGCTGTATTACCAGTATATCGGTAAATTGAGGTTCTATCTTTCCACCATACATATCACAATATCAGATTTCATGCTCGGTATATCAGGTGATTTCAAATAGCAGTTTTTATTGTGTGTTTATTGTAAACAAAATTGTGTATTTATTGTAAACACTTGCCAAATACATCATGATACATGTACCTTCGAAATATTTCCGTAATTTCAAAATGCAAGTTCACATTCTGGAGTTCTTCTGTGCTAGTGGTGAAGCTCCATGTCATCACATGCATGCTTGTGTATTTACTGACTGAGGAAATATTTGAATTATACAATATATTGTGACACATGCACGGCCTTGTGCATTGTAAAATATTAGGATACACTTCAAACATCCAATACCCATCCCTATTGATTATCATGATGATCATGGAGACATGGCAGGGTTCTTGTATTTTAGTGACAGTGGCACGGTTAAAATTGCAGTGGCACGATTAAAATATATAACCGACTAAGAATAAAAACAAATTCAAAACTGATAGACAACAGCTGTTGGATTGAGCTGAGGCTCACTTGTATTAGTATTATGTCAAGTGACTTTCATTGACTGGTGGTTGGGGGGATGAGGACACAGATTTATCTGAGATTCCAAACAACATAAATTGAATTTCCTTGTCAAGCAAATTGGGAAAATATTCCTATTTTGTTCAACATGCTGAAAGTTAGGATTTCTTAAGTTTCTACTTTCCTAATTTCATATTTATTACAAAATAGTATTTTGCCATAGTGTCCAATGCAATTTAGTGTTAAAGGCAATACCTCTTTATTTGTTGTTTAACCAGCTTTATCAGTAAAATACAAATCCCTTCGACCAAGCCATCATTTTAGTTATAACTGTATTAACATGAAGTGAATAAAACAAATTATTCCCTTTTGGGAATTTCTTTTGGCTTCAGCTGCTGAAGATCAACCTCTGAGCAGGTCGACATAAACATCTGAAGTAACAGGATAGAATTCCCCTGACTAAATAGGCTAAATCAGAATTTCATGATCATAATGGTCATTTTCAAGTATCGGGGCCCGATTTAGCAATATAAAACATGCACCAGTGCAACCTATTATTGAAAAATGCAACCTAATATTTATGTCTACATACACTAAGTGCATATTCAAACATTTCAAATTTGTGTCGAGCGTCCGCCCGGAGAGCGGAAGGTCCGGGGTTCGATCCCCGGCCGCGTCATACCAAAAGACGTTAAAAGATGGTACTTGTTGTTACCCTGTCTGGCGCTCGGCATTAAGGGGCTAAAACAAGGACTGGTCGGCTCGGAGTCAGTATACTGTGTCTGAGTGGGGTATTCATGTTAAACTGCGGCTGTGGCATCTCAGTGAGCTAGCACTATAAATCGGCATCAGTCCGGACTAGTACAAGCAGCAACAAACACACACACACATGCATGCACGTCGCTATATAAGTGCAATAAATCTTGGACGCGACGTTAAACCCAATTTCACCTCACCTCAAATTTATGTCTGACTG